AAAAATGGCCCCATCAACAACGCCGCCGCTCTGCTCGCGATCTCGGCTTCTCGCTCGCCGCCTCGACCTCCCCCCCCCCCAACTCCCGTGCCCACGAATTAACGACCTTACAATTTCCCGGCGGGCGAACGCCACCGACCATCTTATTAAAAGCGCAGTCAAAACGAAAGGTTATCGCGAGAAAAGTTGTGTTCAGATAAGGCACCACGTCCCTAATGCGGTATCTAATTAATTCTTGCGTCACTGATGCGCGACTAAAAATACGAAATCGCGCGTCCTGGCCTCCCCCGCATGCTATTTCGGGCTCGAGCTTCGCCGGAGAGCACGCGCGTGCCGCGACGTGACAGTGACGTCACGCTTCAAGGTATCGATCTGTCGGCAGCACTTACGGCCGCAGCCGGCCGCAATGGAATGCGCATTGACTGTTCCTCTTCTGGGTTGTGGAGCGTGCCGGGTCGACCAGCCGGATTTTGTTGGCAGTGCATATGGATGTGAAGGGAAAACAGAAGGGCACGCGAAGGACAGGGCGCGACAGGAAAAGGCGCAAAGGGCTGGAGAAACACCAGGGACCAATTGCGAAAGGGCGGGGAAAGGGCAGGAGAAGGGCAATATACATGAGTTTTGTTACACGTGTTTTGGACTATGACAAAGACATAAATGGTCAAATCCGAAAGAATAAGTACGATGAGCAGTGCTGCTTTAGGTACACTCATACAACGGAATGGATGTAATGCTTCAACTCGTATAACTTGCCGTTAACCAGGATTTGTAAGTTGGGATGTGTCTAGCACGATGCCTGAAGCCAGATCAGTTCAGTATTCTCCGACTCGTCGGGTATGTACTTAAACGTATAAATCCGTATCATTACTATAAAATAAATTTTTAACTTTTGGCAAATGAACAAGGTCAAACATTCTGCAAGACGTTAGTCAATGTGTACATGAGCGAAGATGAGTGGAGATATTTAGATTTAGAGTAACGGAAGTTGTGTATTGAGTGAGTGTAAAAGTGTATGTCACTTACACTAAATAAGAGTTCTGCAGAGCCATTTTATTAAATTTCCCTGGACTGTACAGGACGTTTTGGGCGCACGGAGCGGCAAAAATTGCCTTTAAAATGTGATAACCTATTTGTCATATGATTATAAATCCCAGTGTCCCAATGTTATCGAGGATACAAATGTTGCTAAGATGTGCACTCGTTAATGATTATCATTATCGATTTTGCTAAAACAATGGTTTAATTGTGGCCCTTAACAAACCATTACTAAGGAAAGCCTCAATTTAGGCCATTTGAAGACCATATAGGTTAGTGTGTCATAAAATAATATTTTCTCACACACGATAGAAAACTGAGAAACGTTGTAAACAAAAAAATCTAAAAATCCCAGACCGCCGTTTTATGGAGTACTTCTAAACAGGATTACAAAAGACAGAAAGTATGCGAAGACATTTTCTTTCGATTTTCATGAACACACATTTCGGTTCATAATGTTCCTCTAGTCAATTTTCACGGAGAAATACAAAACATTTCCGAACAATGTAATTCTTATCACTAAATAATTCATACGGATAGTCAGACACTGCCAAAACAAATTTTGTGAAACCCAATAATCCTCTGTTGCGTGTATGTCATTTCCCAATTGTGAGCAAATCCATTTCTAAATAATGCAAGAGATCCAAGCCAATGTGGTAGAAGGCGTGGTAGAGAGCCAAGTTAGAACGCGAGAGTGTGAGAGACCTACAGCCTGAAAAATAAAAAAGGGTGAGGATGGAGTCGAGAACGAGGTCAAGGACATGCAGAAGAACACCAGGGCTGCCGAGCCAGAGAGGCTCTGGAGATGACCTCGGAGGTCGGAACAGGAATGAGTGTAGGGCGTGGAGCAGACCGTGCACACTGAGCCCAATCTTTATTCTACTCTCAAGGAATTCTTTTAACGCTGAGGCCAAATTACTACGAGATTTGATGGCAGGTACAGAGAAAATGTGAAATTGCCAGGTTAGTTTCATGTTTTATGAGGAAAGCATTGTGAGGAATTTAATCTCATGCTTCAAGAACAGTTAATTAATGTGTATGTATGTTAAGTGTATATTAATTCATGTTATGCGTAATTTGTAGAATTTGAACTCCTTCAAGCATCACCAAAACATTTTACTAGCATTCCATCATGGACAGTTTTCTTCACAGAGATCTTGTTTATTTATTATTTTTGATTTATTTACTCCTTGTCGAAAGCCAAGAAAAACTGTCTGGGATGACTAGCGAAAATTATTATTAATAATAATAATAAAATTAAAAAAACACGCATAGTACTCACTCACATACACAAACAATACCATCACTTTCTCTGTGTATCAAGAGAAAATAGATAAAATCCGATATTGTAAAATGAAAAAAATCCCAAAATGCTTGGGCAAAGTTCTGCTTCGCCGGCCTGGGTTGCCGTGGTATCTAAGGCTCAAGGGTCGTAGCAGCCTCGTGCCTGAAGGGTCGCGGTTTCGTATCCCGCCCGGGGCATGGATGTTTGTGTGTCCCTAAACAACATGCAAATTCCTCTACCGTTACTCCCAAAGTTAAAAAACAAATGGTAATTACAGTAGTCGCTGTACAACCTAGTAGTTGGAAAGCAACCTTTAAAAAAATAGATAAAAAAGTTGTGTTTCAGGAACGGTGTTTTGATTTTCGTTCAGCTGAAATTGATGTTGAAGCAACGCTACTGTGCGTCGAAGTGTACGAGGCAAGAGTGGCTGGGAGCGGAGGCGGAGCCATTCCTTGGGGGCAGGGCAGGTGCGAGCCCGGCGGCCGGAGGTGGAGCTGGGGAGGGGGGAGGCGGACCCCGCGAGACGACTAGCGCGGGCCGCGCGCCGCTGCCGTTCTTACGAGGCAGCGCCGCCTGGCGATAGTCCTTCCCGTCTCGCCTCGCGCTCGCCGCCCCCTGCCCGGCGCACCCCCCTCCCCCCGACGCCATCGCAGCCGCCACCAGCGACAAACGCGCACGATAGGTCTTCAAATATTTACGGACGCGGAAGAAGTGCGGGCGGGCGGGAGGGGCGGGACGCGGCGGCGGCGGAGGGCGGTGGCGGCGGCGGCGCCCGGGGCCGCGCTCACCGCCGCCGCCGCTCCCGCCTCCATCGCCATCACAGCCTCTCACCCCTTCCTCTCTCAGCCGCCGCGCAGCCGATGCACTCCAGGAAATCTCGGACGCGACAGCAACGCGTGGCGCGTTTTATGCCAGCTGGTGACATCGCGTTTCCTAAGGCGTACGGCTTCCTTGGAACCGATCCAACACACTTCTATCGATGGACCCTGGATTAACAATATTATGGTGCAAAATTACCAATATAATCTGAAGTAACAGCCAACAATGTTTGTCTAAAATCTTCAGAGGGTTTGGGAAGTATTCTTGATTTATTGACAACAAAGAAAGAAAAGAAAGAAACTTATTTTATTAATTTTAATAAAAGTTTTCTGTGAAAGAAAAACAAAGTGCTGATAGTTATTAATAATCAGAGGATACTTCCCAATCCGTTTAAAAATATTAATTTTATTACGTTGATTGTTCTCCTTGTTTTACTATTTGAGTTAAAATATTTATTCCAAGACACTATTCAGATCTTCATGTGTAGTATAGCGCATAGGACGTTAATATTATTTCTGCTCTTATTTTGAACCTGTATATTCATCAAACAAGCCAGCAAGTAGTAAATTATAGATTGTGATTAATTGTAAGCAGTTAACAAAGAATTGTTCATATCCCCACTTTCCATTTCAAACATTTGTTAAAATATTACTTAGCAATATCTTATTGATCCTGTATAGTTTTGCCGTTGCAATAGCCTTTTATAGAAAGCTCCACTTCTTATTTTCCATTTCCAGATGGAATTTCTGCCTCATGAAACTTCTGTCCGATCTTAAAAGATAAGCAATATCTTCAGTTAGCCATAATAACAATGAAATAGTAAGAACCAAAAATAATATAAAATATTGTAAACTTAGTATATTTACCCTTAATATGATACAATAGTGATTTTTTTTTTCAAGAAATCATGACCACCTACTATATTTCGTCATTGCCTCTCTCAACTCAGCTACAATGTCATAAGGTCATAGCGAAAGGCGGAGAGTCATCAAAATCAACCAAAAGCAACAAGGGTGAGCAATTTAAAACTGTGCGTGCATACCCGTTTAGTATGAGCAAGAGCTGGTGAACCGTATGCGTCTTCGTATTTCTGCAGCGTAATCATAAGTAACCTTCAAGAACATGACAACATGACAATTTTCGTAATGCTAAGCATTTCCTATTTCTCGGCGCCTGCATTCTGCTCGCTACTTAGTTCTACAATTAGAGTATCATTGGGTGCATCACCAAGTAGCCGATATTGGCATTTTCATTACATTATATGTGACGAACGTGACGAAGAAATACAGAACACTGGAATGATGAATATAAGGAAGTTGAAGCTAACAATTTTTCCTGTTGATAAATTAAAGCTTTAAATCACACATTGAAAAGTAATTCTAAGAAGAAATAATGGTTGAATTTCTCTCTCTGTAGTTTATCAATCAATTCGACCAATTATTTTTGGAACACCCCATACATTAGCAGTAGATGCAGGAGGAGAATGTTTTATCAACGTTAAACGGAAATGTTCATTAAGGAATGAATATCTTCAATGCAAGGCAGAATTTCTTTTCTCCTTAATTACAAATTGAACTATCTTGGGAATAATGGATGTTATGTTTATTTTGTTCTTTATTGTCACTATTTTTTATGAAAAAAGTTTTAACATATTAAGAATAAAAATCACAAATTACATTTTAAAACAATAATAACAACTTTTTAAATCTTAATTATTTCGGTGTATATTATCGATTTTTCCCTTCAGTCTTGTAACGTCAGTTACAACCTCAGTAATTACATTTTTGTCGCAGAAAGTTCAACTAACATTTATGCTGGTCACTTTGCAAATATGCAAATATTGGAAGAACGATTGTGTCAACAAATCATATAATACGGTTGGCTGAATGTGAGCGTTGAATTAATTTGTTTTGCATCTTCAAAATTACAAAATCACTTTGGGTTTGGTAAATGGATGCGATGTGTGATATTAAAACCATAAGGCATGTAAAGTAAATTTCCCCAAAAGTAAATATCATACCGTATTCTATATTGCACCGGCAGAAGTACACCACTCGTTGGCCCTGAGCATTGAGGTGAGGAGGGCGCACTGAAGGAAATTGGTGGGTCAAGAAGCCTCCGTTTAAACGACTGCCTGGAAAACAGAAACGAATTTGTGTTTTGTTTCAATGAGTTTTCGATAAAGTAATCGATTGCTACACCGAATCCATAGAACATTCGGCTCGATTTATATTATGTTTTCTATACAATATTATGGGGGAAACTTAATGTCAACCCGCATCAGAGTTGACAACACATAGTGTGCTCTATACCAAATACCACCATTTCGCGATAACAGTATGGAGTTAAAAGTTCGTCTTGGCCATTATCGCAATAAAAGATATCCATGGTTTTTGAATGCATATGTGAACATTGTTTTACTCTCCTGTTCAAAGTGAATCGTCTGCAAAAAATGATTATACTGATTTTTTTAAAAATATGTCTCATGAAGAGTGAAAGGATGAGCGCGATTATACGCGTTATTTATCGAAGAAAATAGCTGCTGATGCAAAGATTTGTTTGGGAAAATTTTAAGACCATTCCCATCCAATGAAAAAGAAATATTGCAAATGAAATAACTGTTACTGCGATAATCATTTTCTATCTTAAGCGAACGTGGTCTTTCTTTTATCTCAAATTCCGAAGAACATGAGCATAATGGGAAATGGCCCTCTACATCTTCAACATGGGTTTATGGCGACAAGTGTTTCGCTAGAAACAGAGCGTACGTGGAACATATATCCCTCAACGATCTCAAAACCGTTGATTGAAGGGTATCTTTGACAAGAATAGCGGAACGTCAGATCACCATTAACTTCTAAACGGACATACAATAGAGTCGCGGTAATCCCAACCTTGCTAATCCGAGATTCCGTGCAATCAGAGGTCGTCTGATGTGCGCCAAGTGACATAACAAGCAATCAAACGGCGATAAACAGGAGGAGGATCTCTTGAGAAGTTGTCAAGTCCACGTCGAAGGTCACGTGATAGTGTCAGTCTGTCTGCTACATTGGTGTGACCGGTTCGCGCTCATTTATGTATGTACCTATGCATCTGTAATGTTTATAGTATATGCACATTAAATTTGACATCCTTATACAATATAGTTGAAAATTCAGTTATGAGTTCCGAGTTTTTTGTAATCCGAGATACCATCAGCCCCAATTACCTCGGATTATCGCGACTCTACTGTATTGATTTAGCAAAAAGAACTCTTGGAGATGGTTGTTGTGACGGAAGTCCGTGGCGTGCTTTTACCACGAGAATTAATTCCAAGAGTCGGGATAGACCCTCTAAGAAAAAGAGAATTGCGCGCGACGGGTACTGTCTAGGGCGCAGACTCCACGCGGTCCCTGGGCGTTGGGTGCCCGCGAGGTTTGGCGCACTCGCGTTGCCGCAGCGCTGGGTCCAACCGAACGGCAGGCGGACCCCTGCGCACCTGCAGCACCCGTCCTCATCCGCCCTCCCATCCTCACAGCCGACGCCCCCGGCCGCGCTTCTGCCTCAGCGCTCGACCCTGCGCTCGCGCCCGCGCCAGCGCCCCGCCGACCGGCGCCGTTCCCGGTCGGCTGAGCTTTTAAGAGGCGAAAAAGAAGCGGTTCTTCCTTTCTTATGCATCCCAGGGAGCCCGTCCGGCAACACTTCGCGTAATTTCCGAGGAAAGGTGGAATTATTCATCGAGCAGAGCAGGCCAGCACGGGGTGGCGGCGAGGAGGTGCCTGCGCGCCCGGGGCGGCTGCGGGCGGCGTGCCAGGCGAGGCGGGGCGGGTCGGGACGGGTGCGGGGTGCGGGAGGGCTTGGGAGCGGGCGCCTCGCCGTGACGGCCGCCCGCGCCCCAGGGCAGCCCCGAACGATGGATGTGCGGCGGTGGCGGCGTACCGCTGCCTCCCCGCACGCCCCGAGCCGCCCGTCCGCGCAGCTCCGCTCCCGCCCCCGCTCCCGCCCCGCTGCGCCCCGCTGGCGGCGCCGCCCACGCCTCATGCGCCGCCGCCGCCCGCGGGCGGGGCAACAAAGGGGTCGATTGGTCACCCCGCCGCTCTCGTGTCGGCGCCCGCGGGACGAAGCGACGCCCCACATTGCGTGGGACGAACTTTTATAATAATATTCAGTCCTGAGCGGAAGCCCTTGGGCGCCACTCGAACTCCATTTGTTTTTTCTGCTTCGTTCGCGGACGAACGAATCGCAAACTCAGAATAAAAGAGGTGCTCGCTAGACGATTTTCGCCTTGTCAACTAGAGAATGCGTATTGCATATATTTACCGCAATAAAGGAGCGCTTTAGAGCATGATTTGCATGATTGATTTTCTATTTGTCATTTTCATTCCAAATATTACTTGTTGATTGATTGTGCGGGAGAGGCTCGTTAGTGTGGACGGAATACAAACTGTTTTCTGCAATTTGACGGAAAAGTGCGAGTTAACGGATAAAAGAATGAAGTATCTGTTTTTCAGGGAATCATAAATATATCAGAGATAAAAATTATATTGAGTAATTAAGTCAACTAGCTATTTACAATGTCACTAACTAATGTCTGCTTTTAATTTCAATTTCGCATGAGTTCTTAAGTTCCATCGGCGACAGGAAACTGCTGGATGCTTGTCAGATTAGTCAATATACCGATAATATTGAGAACGTATTCGCTTTATTGCTTTTTAATGAGTAAACAATACGAAAATTATTCATTGGGAGACTTTTCTTTAAATAAATTTACTAATTGCTGACAATACATTCCTTGCAATTCATTGGTTCTCAATAATCACTAATATAAGCAAATTTATGAAGCAAATAATGTATTTTGTCTGCTATTCGGAAGGAAAAACATGTTATTTTCATGTTCGCAAATGAAAACAAAGGACGTTACATAAACCAAAGTGAAGCACTTCATAGAATCGGGAAAACAAGTTAAGAAATAATTCCAATGCAAAAACTCATTATTATTCTCTTGCTTGTCTGTGGAGTGTAGAAAGCGAGTTGGAGGAATTTTATAATTCACATGACCCATTTCTTCCTTTTCACACAATTCTCAGTACTATGAAAGCCTTCACTCCTCTCAATTCCAGCTTTAATAGTAACTCCTCTGGCAGTGTCTATTAAATAAACCACGCCTTCTTACGTAAACAGAATAGCAATAAATACCTTCACAGAATAATCTACAAAATTATTGTTTTCTCCGAAACACATTAAATATAATTGATATTTACAAAAAACACGTGTGTAAAGTATTTTATTTTTTAAAGTTTTCTTGAAATGGCTACATTTGAGTCCGGTTGTAGTTAACAACGTCTGAGGATTACTATTTTGGTTCACTACATCAGTGTTTCACCATATCAGATTCCAAAATATTATAGATTTTAAACTATGATCGGTATAACTTCAGAGGTAGAGTAAAATAGCCAATGGACGTGAATTCAAAATTTTAATATGTTTCATGCTTTCTTCACACTTTTTCTATATTGTCCACAAACACTGAATATCCAAATGAAGTATAACAACTTTTAATACCTCTTGTTCTGTTCATCCTTCATTTTTATATCCTTATACGTATTTTCCCCTTTCCTCAAACCATTTCCTCGCAATTACAAATTCTCATCTACGTCTGATTTCACTAGATTTTAACATGCAGGCCTCGCGGATGAAGTCTTCACACTGGACAAAACTGCCGTCGATGAGCTGAAGCACGGTTCCCTCAATCCCTTCCAAACACCATGAATGTTACAAAAATCCCTAGTGTTGTATTGATTTGCGTTACTGACTATTTTTTCCTGGAAGTCGTTCGCTATAATAGTTGTTGAGAGTTCACTATAAAAGTATCTTATAGGGCTTATTTGTTGTGTATGTTGACTAGGACCAGTGGTTTAGTTCACACAAAGTTCATTATATCCGAGTTCACGCTATGGAGAGCCCACTGTATTTAATTTTGCAATCAATGTGTTTAATTAAATAAATTTTCAAGAAATTTATGGGCGATAACAGTACTGTTCTCTATACTTAAGAATCAAATTGACCAATGTAGGTACAACAGCCCTTACATTCGCGTATTATTTGTATCATTACAACTTGTATGCTGCCAATTCTTCAGCTCTTGAACTTCACCAAATGAAGCCAGAGCACCAGGAGATTTCAAGAGAGAATACGTATCTTTATCTTTTAATCAAAACGTTTCGTGAAATAGAACCAATGTGTTGAATGAAGAATTTAAATAAGCAAAATGAATTATCTTTTCAGTACATCGCAATCTTTCTTTTTACAGAAAGTTAAAAAAGTTTTCAAATGTACTGAAAGTTTAAAAAGACTTTGCATCAGTTTCTGAGAAAACCATGTTTAGATTTTCTTAGTATGTGGACATGTTTAGTCTCAAAATTACGGTAAACCAGGCTAGGATAGTTTTGAACGAAAGTTGAACTATTCCAATTTTACCAATTTTAGAGGTTTTTATGAAAATAAAACTTATGATATTTATACTTCGTCCTCCATTCAAAAAAATATCAAAAAAATATTGGGAGCAACTTTAAGGACATTTTGAAAATGAAATAGGGACTTCACGTAGTGTTCTCCAAATCTTAAATAATCGTCTCAAATTAGCAAGTTCTCGCAGTCGACCAGATCGAGCGGGAAGAATGCTTGTTGTGGAAATGTTTTGTACGGTTAGGTACCAGTGTGGTTCAGACAGACGGGCAACAGGCAGGTTGGCAGATATGCAGACAGACATGCAGACAGACAGGAAAACAGACAGTCAAACAGATAGGCCGACAGACTGTCAAACAGACAACTTGCATTACTATCAAAATCTTGACATTTTATTAGTATGACACAAATTTCTTTAAACTACTAAATGGGAAATTAAAACGAAATAGTAGTTAGACCGAGACACTAAAAAAATACGGTAAACTGACACATGTAATCAGATGAGAGGAATACATGCTGTTTGCAGATACAGCTCTTCAATTATCAGTGATAGACCAGTCATCAGTCGCCGAAAAGAACCTCTGGGGGCGGAGACGTTAAAATGGCCTGTCCAACCCGCGCGCCGACCATTCCAAGTGGCGAGCGTTCCCGTCTCCCGAGGAACGCGAAGAGAAGCGGGGAAAGAATGTGGAAGATGCGCAGAGAATCTTTGCCATCCGATGCTCGCATCTGCGTACGAACACTTGCTTCGAATTCAAGAACTTTTAGGCGAATCGGTACATCCCTTGTAGCTCGTCCGCAAATGCTTGGAATTTCCTTCAAGAGGCAATTACCTTCTGGACAAGAGACTACATCCACTTCCTTTCCTTGCATATTCAATTGATTGCGTGACTGTATAAGAAAACAGTTTATGGAAAGAGAAAGCATGAAGTTGTCGCCAAACCTGTACAAATATTGAAAAATATCCATTATATTAAATAAGTGGTCCTACTACAGCACATATGTTGGGTATTCTTTTTAACGGTTATAATCGTATACTTGTTCCTACTTGTGTATTTACTTATCCTAGTCATTTTTCAGTCATTTCTTGAAAAATCTCTACTCAGAAAATGATCCGCGGGAAAGTTAAATTTGCAATTTTTGAAAATATTTGTTTTGAAACTTTCAAACGTTTTCATTAAAATCGGACTAATAACGTGATTTTATACGCGCATTCGAGCAAAGACTACAGAAAAACGTTTTCCCGCTTGCGACTCAAATTCTGGCCTTCGAATTTACAAACCTCGCCGCTAATGCCACCTCTACTATATGGAAATAGTTCGGTTAAAATCTGAACAAGGAAGGGAAAAAGGAAGAAACTATTCCTCTAAATTTCGAAACATTTTGTATAAAATTGATAAGAGATTATGTAAAGCATTTGTGTTCGCAAAAATACATTAAATTATAAAATAAACACGTATTGTGAATTTTAGAGCACGCAAGATATTCAAGTTTTAATGTAAAAGATATTCGTGCCAAATATTTAAGTATATTCTTTTCTGTTTACAAAGGTTTACAGAAAAAATAGGCAGAGATTTTGAGAAATACTTGTTTACGTATTTCTGTAAAATTTTTACGATTTATATCAAAGGTTCGAAAACTACACATATTTCCAAACAACTCTGCGAGAAATTATTTAAAGATCGAACATTTAAAAAAATTGATTGCAGTAAGATAGAAATTGCTATCTTCAATAATAAAGATAAAGAACAGAATCAAAAATAAATTTTAAACCTTTGCAATTTAGGAAAATTCTGACTTTTTAATGGAAATTGGATATTTTATTAAGCGCATTTTGTTCTCTTAAAGAATAAAATAAATTAAAAGTTTGAAGTATTTTTGAATTTTCTGAAAAAGCACGTGAGGCTTGTAAATTACTTACAAAAAATAAAAGATCTAGGTTTGCAGGGATCCGAGTTCTGGCAAATCGATTGGGGTACAACGTTTGGTGAATATCCTATGTAGGTTTTCGTAAGGCACTAATGTGACTTCATAAACGACCGGACGAATGGACGGCCGGACACAC